CTAAAGCTTTGCTCTTTGATGCATTACTCCCACCAGACCTCTTCAGCTCAGTTTAGCCACACCTTTCTCTTAGCAATTGAAATACTGCTCTTTTCCCTGGGTAACAGCATTAGATTCTCATGACTATGTAAAATGTGAAGGTCTAATGGCCTAATAGTAATTTTCAGTATTGGTCCCTCTGAGCATTAAATATTTAATGAAGAGATTTGCCTTTCATATGAACTGGCTCTGTGCCCTGAAAGCACTTTACTTCTAGCACCTTGAGGACATTTTGGCAGCCATTTAAGAAAAAAAAGAGATTTGCCATCTCGAGCGCCTCCAGCCACTATAATATTTACACTGTTGTCATGTATTTGGAATAATGCAGCATTTCCTGCACATTTTCACCATTGTCTTTCACAGGTGTGGCCTTTGAGGAAAGCCCAAGAGTCTCCAACAGCAAAGAGCTTCCAAAGAAGCTCTTTGGGAAGAAGTAAAGAAGTATTTGTGGCTGACTGGCTGTTGTCACAAAGTCTAATAATGATTTCTTTGAAAGCTACTGCTTTCCTTATTTCTTATCTTACAGGTAACTGATGATTTTACTCTTCTGTAACTAACAAAACCATAAAAGGCATTTTAACCTGTCACATTATGTCTGAAAACCACATTTGCAACTACACAGTCATCTGTGCCAGCAGCTGGACATGTTTCAGTCACCACTGCTGTTTCCATTGCTGAGCCACATACTGATGGCTCTGTGCAAGCAGAGGAGTCCTTAGCACAGGACTCTAAGTCAGGAATAATGCTTTGTGTATCCTAATGCCTTTCACCACAGGGATATATGGACAGCTTTGCTGAATAATGGCAGTTTCCAAACAGCACTTCAGGCTCTGACAACAGAATAGGCTAGAAATTATCTAACAATGACTATATAATGCTTGGGTGAAATTAGAACTTTAATTTTGAACAGGTGAAGTCCAGAAGAGATGATATTTACCCAGGTGCTCAGGTTAGAACCTTTAACGCATGGGTTTCTGAAGGTGGTCCTAGTTTAATTTAGAACTTCTGACAACAGCCACATGAAACTATATACTCAGATTTCAACCTCCTGACTCGATTTTCTTGTGGGTCATCACAGAGAATGGTCCCTAGCATTGCTGATTTGTGTCAAGGAGGGCAATACAAATGTGATATGATACTCATTGTCTAAATGACAGGTTGTCTTTATAAAAGAATTTGAGGGTTTATTTTAAATTTTACATTCTTTTAAAAACTAAAATCAGAGTGTGGCAGTTCAGTTCCCTTCTCAAGGAGAAGCCTAGTCTGTAAACTGCTTAACTTCTTAAATTATAAACTTCAAAAAGCCATTTTGCCTTGTCCTTCCTAGGTCAAACACATCCTCCTACGTTGTTGTTTCTTGAGCAGCTGGGACAGTCATTTCATATTATTTTCCTGTATCTGCTCCTCACTTTGCCAGTACATGAAGTATTTACAAAGGGAAAGAAGTCAGTTTTCAGATAGCATAGAAATCACCATACTTTATATGTTGTAGACAAAAGCTCAAAACCAGATGTGCCTGTTAGAAATGGTGTGTAATTCACACTATAGTGAACTTCAAACTCTATTGCAATTATCTTGATAATAACAGCAGATAAAAAATTTATATAATCCAAATGGAGCCTATTTTTCTACTGAAAACACAGAGGAACTCTAATGACAACAGTTCTTTAGTGAGGATACACCCTATCTCTATTACAACTTTAGTGTTCAAATAAATGCTGATAGAGATTTGGTGATTGAACTGTACAAACATGGATATGACTTTCAACACTGAGAGATCTAGAAGGTTCAGGACACTTCTCCAGCCAAGAAGTAGTATAATTTACAATGCTGATTTACAACAGTCAGTGTTTGGATTACAATTTTAATTTTGCCTTTTCATGCTTTGCCAGTGTAGAAATTAAATTGTGCATTAATTTATTGTTATCCCTTTGTTAGCAACAGGAGATGACAGAGCCCTGCTGGAACCTTGTGCAGACAGTTTGTTTTTCACTCTGCAAATACAGTTTCTGAGCACTGGTGTTCACAAAAAAGATATGTCCTATCTGCTTTTTCCAGAATGTCAGACCAACAAAAAAAATACAGGTGACAATTTAGTTAGAGAGACAGATTCCCTTAGTATATGCCACAGCTCCTTCAAAGAGCTATTGTACCCAAAGCCAACAAAGAGATAAAGCTAATATTTTTGTCATTGATGCAGGCAGTGGAATCAAGCTCACCCTCAGCAGGTTTGCCAATAACCCAAGTTGTGTGGTGCAGGTGACTGACACACTGGAGGGAAGGGGTTCCATCCAGAGGGAAGGAATTCCACTGGAGAGAAGAGATGCTTGGGAGGTGAGCCGATGCAAACCTCAGGAGGTTCAACAAGCCACGTTCCAGATGCTGCCCCTGGGTTGGGGCAACCCCTGATATCAACATGAGCTGGGATGGAGAGCAGCCCTGACAAGGAGGGCTTGGGATGCTGGGGGATGAGAGGCTGGACATGAGCCAGCAATGTGCACCTGCAGCCCAGAAAGCCAAGTGTGTCCCAGACTGCATCCAAAGCAGAATGGCCAGCAGGGCCAGGGAGGGGGTTCTGCCCCTCTGCTACAGCTGCTGCATCATGTCTTCTGGTACATTAAACTCATATTACTACAGCTATGTAGGAGATAGTTTCTAAAGTGTTGGAGGAGGGGAATTTTCATTTCCTATTAAAATGACTATCAAAACAGAAAATTCCTGTTTTTCAAAGATTTTCGAAGAAAGATTTTTCACAAAAGATTTGGGTAATATAACAGAAAATATTTTAAAGTTGTCATTTCTTATCTTGAGAAAAGGAGAAGATGTCCTGACTGCTCACAGTTTAGCAAGTGACCCAGATCCACTTTTGCTCTCTCTGGCCAACTAAGAGTTTAATATCTTTACAAAGTGGAGTAGTTAAAAAAAAAAACAACAAAAAAAAAACCAACCAAAAAATCAGAGACTGCCAGAGTCTAATTCACTACAGTTTATCCCTCAGGCACACGCTTAAAAAGGAAGATGCCTCTTTCAAAATCCCTTATCAGTGCTCCCCATTCCCAGGCAGATTTATTCTCTGTGTATGATTTGTTCTGTGGTTTGTTTTCTTGCTTTTGTTAAAAATGTCAAGATCCTTCACCAATTTTTCTCTGGAACAGAAATGTCTTCTGACCAGCTCTGTTAATTTTGAAAAATCTTCTGATTTAAGTTAGCCATGTCACCACTGACCTTGTGACCCATCACTTTTGCCACCACTGTAGGAGAGAAAGCACAGTGCAGAATTGTGCACGACAGTTTCCTGCAGCAGGCAGCACAGGCTCATGGCAGGACGTCAGGGCAGGAGCAAGTGAAGGGGAAATGAGTGGATGTGAGGTCTGGAAGGGAGCATAACACTGCTAAAGGAAACAGGAGAAGCACTGCTGTTGAGAAGAAAGGAAGGATGAAGAAGGAGAAATGTTAATGTTGAAATGGAAGGAAGGAAAGAAGGGAAAAAGAGGGGTTTAATTTCCCAAGAGGGTAAAGGTTTCCAAACTAAAGAATTAATAAGGATCCTTGCCTAAGTCGGGTATATGCCAGGCTTATGGGAGCTTTATCTGGGGTTTTCATTTAAAATGTTAGAAAACTTAGGTAGTTTATACAGTTTGGATCTGTATTTTACCCAGCTTCCAAATAGCCCAAAATCTGAAATAGTTTTATTCTTGTATTTAAAGTCAAACTTTTCTTTGATTTTTTAAAGTCATTTGACCAGAGTACATTTATTCTAAGGCAAACTTTATTAATATATTCCACTGAACCCTTTTTTTAAAACCAGAGACAAGCGTGCAGTGGAAACTACTTAACTCATCTTTAGAAATACATGATACAAAGAGTAGAAGACTGGAACTTCATATGTCTCATACTGCACAGTTATGAGCTGTAGTATAATTTAAATGCCAAGTTGGAGACTACATCTATTGTAGAAGAAAATGAATTGCTGTATTCTTACATTTCCAGAAAAGACTGTTCCCGAAGTATTACAGGAAACTCTTACATGAAACTGACTCCAGTTTGTTACTTCTACTTCCTTCTACTCCTGGGAAATGTCTCTTTTGCTGACCCAGCTGACTGGAATTTATGAGCTATAAGGTGACTATTGTAAAGAAAAAAAGTTCTTTAGAGGAAAGACATAATTAGAAGGTGAGGGCACAAAGTTGTCTTATCTTATGCCATCTGCCTCCACATGCTGTTTTTAAAAAAATGTATATGTTATAAATTGAAACTTCTGTGGCAAATATCCCAGCCATTCATGAACTGCATTCATGTCTGATTCATTAAGACTGCTATAGTCAGGTTGAACTAGTATAATTTTGAAAATGAACTTGCAACTCGCAGAGGAGAAAAAAAAATCAGATATGGAGAAAGCTCTTAAGTTTTAAACTGGTTTCCTTGTTCTGGTAAATAGCTATTCCAAATTCTTTGCCATTTACTGTAAATCTCTACACAGATTGCAGTCTTGGAAGCAGATAACTGCTTTTGCTTATCTATCTGCCCATGAGGGATAGTCCCAGTTCCTCATGACTTGGAAATTTAGGCATTAACTACAAGAAGAAAAAAAGATCCTTGCCCAGCAAAGGAAAATAAATAAATAAAGGCAACTGGTGTGCTGATCCTAATAGATGCACACATCAGAAACGTCTGATGAAAATATTTGATGGTTGTTTTACACAATGTAAAAAATCTGGGAGGAAAGTTATGGAGGTTCCACGATCGTCCCCAGCAATGGGTAGGACAAGGCTGCATGGATATGCAAAGGAACATGCATTTTACTTCCCTGACAAGATCCTAATAATTCTAAATATGTTTGTGAGTGTGTGTATATATATATATATATATATATATATATATATGTCTGTGTGTGTATGGAGAGAGAGGAGAGAGAATTTCCACAAAGCTGACACTTCCTGGTCACCTTCAGTGCCTCACACCTTTTGCCCACTCTTTTGCTGTTTACTTAGGGAGAAAGTTGCTTGTGTGCACTCCCAGCACTAGTAGGACCAGGCACAGGAAACCTTTCTAGGTGATGCCAAGGTGACCAGCCATCTGCAAGCTGGTCTTGAACAGGTAAAACAGGATTCTGCATGAGGAGCATGTGGGAGGACTCCCCAGAGTACAAACACTGTCAGGTGGGTTTGTGTTAGATGACTCAATCTGAAGAAATAAAGAAAGAAAAAATCATCCTTGAGCTCAGGTACGAGACAGAGATGAGACTGTTAAAATAAACAACCTGATGACAGCAGGCTGATTGTAAGATTCATTGGCTGAATTAATTGTGACTGAAGCTGTACAGTTACAAAGGCTAGGATTTGATGCATATTATGGATCCCAGAGCCGGGTTTGTCTGTTCTGATATGATGGCATACATTTCTTTGTAATCTAATTTCACAGCTAGGAAAATCAGCCTTTCACAGACCTTTTCCTCTGGAGACTGAGGCCAGAACAAGACGATGTGTCAATGATATGTTTGTTAAGCAGCTACCAGTGAGCAAGTCGCTCATCTCTGCTGTTATAGCAATAAGACCTTATCTTCTATAACCTGTCATTACTCTGCTGATGCTGATTTGGAGGGCACTGCAAGCATTCAGCTCAGCTGAGGATCTAGCCTGTGTAGTTACTTGTAGCTCTCTTTTCTGTGCCTCCATCTGCTTGTTTTCTTGGTGAGCTGTTTTCTGCTGTCTAGCAGATGGGACCAAGAGCACAGCTCTGGAGACTCTGCCATACTGCCCGTGTTACACTGATGGGCAGAGGCTTTGGGGATAACCAGTGTGCAAAAGTCTTGCAAGCACAGGGGCAGGCTGTGCCTCAAGGAGCTTCTAATCTAAGCAAGATCCAAATATAATTCAGAATGTAGAATATACCTTATTACAAAGCCTGCTGCAGAACGAGGTGAGAAGTGCATGCAGAGCTGAGCCAAAATCTAGCAACAAGTACTGCAATATTTCTTTTGTCCCACTTACTTGTTTAAGCATCAGGTCCTAGCTTTGAATTATGAAGGCTTAACAGTTGCTTTTTGTAAAAATGCTCAAAATACCTTATGAAACACTTCCATTTTATTGGCCTGCCCACCACCTGTAGGGAGTTTATCCTTCACATCAGGAAAGGGCCACATCACTGTGCTCCATGTGTGTGGGTAGAGGGACCTGCTGTCCTTTTGTCACCCATGGCACTTCAGAGCAGCAGCCCTTCAGTCAGTCAGAGAGCTGATAGGAAATTTTACAACCATGGCAAAGGGACAGACCACCTCCACACTGGGGCGTGGTCCCAAAGGGCTTATTCCTTTCTGCCAAGGCAGGAACACTGCAGGAGGAAAAGCACCAATGACCAGTTCTGCCTCTGGGCATACATGCCTAAATCCTGTTAATGTTAAAAAGACCTGGCCCTCTACCATGGATCACTCATCCTTTTTTGTGGCATTTAACTGTAATCTCAGATAAAATGAATGGGAACAATGGATTTCTGCATTTTGACAGCTTCCTTCTCTGCAAATTAACCATAGTCTGAACTGTGTCTTTGAAATACCACCACCGTTCTGGCCTACCTCAGTGTGCAAAGCTACTGAATCTGCAAACCTGCATGATCAGATTTGTTTGCAGGGATCACACAAACCAACCCAACCATGCTGAATCAAGTTGAGGAGTTAACATGTAAGGGATTTAAATATAACACAGCAGCAAAAGCAAGTCAAATCCACCCTTTCAGGGAACATCAAAAGTCCTGAAATATTTTGGTGAAGTTTGATATAGCAGCTTTGCCACAATGTCTGCATGCTTTGGACTTGCCCATTATCAGACCGAAGGTAAGTGCTTCAGCAGGCAACTTTGCTCCTTGCCTTCCTCTGCTCTGTATCCCCTTTGTGCCTGTTCTCCAACATTTAACTTCTAAGTGGGGTGTTGGACCATGACCAGAGCCCCTCAGTCCCAGTTCATTAGCTTTACTGCTAAGCAAACAAGGTGTCACCACTGGGGTGGTCACAAGCAGTTAGGCCTTGATCTGTGTGAAGCCAACCTGCAGTACCCAAATTTAAAGTACTGCTCTCATCCTCTGTGCTTTCCCCCTGCCTTGGGGCTGGCACAGGACTGGGATGATCTCTCCTCCCTCTGTCCCTGCTCAGAGCACCCAGCCGAGGGGGGAAGCTGGTTCAGCCATGTGCCTGCCCCCTGTTTGTGAGTCAGCACCCAAAGGCTGCTCTAGGGCGTGATTCCTCAGCAGCCACACGTTGCTAAAGCCCAGGAAAGGCTGGCAAGGGACAGCTTTGGTCTCCACTTTAAAGTACCCCATTCCCTTACAGCTGTGTATCAGCCAGGCAGAGGCATAACTTTTCATCTTGATGTATGAAATACGCTAAATGCAAGAAGGAGGGAAGATAAGCCTTTTGATAAGGTGGGGGAAACTCATCTGTATGGAGTACTTGAGAGAGAGATTTAAAAAACCATGAGCCACAAGAGAACAAGGCTAATGAATAATTTTAAAGAAAAGTGGACGTTTTAGCTAAACTACATTTTTCTCTCTTTTTTTTTGTTTTATATTGATTAGCATTGCTAATGGTTTCAGGTGTACTTTTGCAGTTGATCTGGTTACTGAGAGGGAACTTGTTTTGAAAGCAGAGCTCTACTTCTGATAAGTATTCCTAGACTTGCAATATGATTTTTTTTCCTACTGTGACTTTAAAAACAGTGGAATTTGAGTGCCTAAGAGATTTTTTACACCCTTCTTTTAATGAAAAATAGGTTATCAAACACTGGCCATTTTTAAACAATAAATTTTAGGGTCTTCATGATGAATGTCCTAAAATTCACCCAAATTCCTTTTGTTTTCTGCCCAAGAAATACTTGAAATATTAAAGAGCTACAAGAATTTTTAGAGCCGTTTTCCTGTGCAAGGATGAGATACTTATTTCAGGAAGCTCTAACTCTGTAGGAAAGGCGGTTCTTTTGTTAGATTGTTGGTACAAAATGTTCAGGTAATGCTGAGTAACTCAATTAATCTTGTTCTCGCATGTACTCAGGAGCCCAGGGGAAAACCTGACAAAGATTTACTGGAGGTGTCTCTGATCTGCTATTCCAAGGTCTTTATTAACTTGAGTGTATTTATCCCTTCTGATTGTGTTTTTACTGTTCACACTGAAAACAAGACAAATACATTTGGAAGTCTATAAATGAACCTGGTGTGCTAAGACACTTCTCTTAATTTTTTTCTTAATGATTGCACATTATCAGAGACAAGATAAAAGTCATATGACTGATATTACTCAATATGCTGATACTTCAATCTTAGAGACTCATATGTGAAAATAGAGACTTCTTTTACCTAGATAACTGTTCTCTAGTTTCTCAGAAAAATATGTACAACTGTTTAAGATAAAAGTGTACCCCTGTCTTAGGAGATGGCATCTCTAAGATTACATGCAAAATGTTGAAACAAGAATTCTAATGGCTAACTATTTGAACATTTTTGGCTTTATGGCTATTTGCAGCACTAAGAAGGCTGCTTAGCATACTAAGTAATGGAAAATGAATAGCTAAAAGTATAGCATATATTTCAACTTTGGGGTTTTTTTTTTTGTTATTCTAATTACGGTACCACTACTAAGCTCTTTGTTTTCATCAGCACCTTAAAAGTCAAGCTCCTATTGATTTTAAAAATATTTCATTCAGATTTTTAAAATAAATTAATAATGTAGCTTAAATGTCATCCACAACCATTGTTCTTTGTAGTATAAGTTTCAAAGGTTTAGCCTTTGCCTTTCAATCAGTGCAGATGAGACAGATTAGCAGTGTAAAGTACACATACATGCACTTCCAAATCCTGCCCAACAAAGTTTACAATCAAAATAATAAACAGAGAAAAAATTATCAGTATGTACAGAAAATAATTCACTTTTGTTTCTCCCTACTATTTTGTAGGTAATTTCTCAGCCAAAACCAAAGTTAGCTGCTTGTACTTTCTGATTATTTTTGTGAGATGAAAGAAACAGTGCCCATGGTGTGATTACAGACATGAAGTGTCACCTGGATAGGAGAAATCTTTACTCTCCAGTACACGAGACAGTATCTGTGGCAGATGAAGTACCCTGTGTCTTTGATACACTGGATACTTTGAAATAAAACATTTTTTTTCTGTAAATATTACAGCTCTGCAAAACCCAATAAGTTACAAAATCACATTAGCAAAAATAATTTTTCTCCTCCATTTTCGTGGAACAATAATAATATCAGCTCTCTTGCCACTGAAACAGAAACATATTAAGAATTCAATAAGTGGTTTCTAAGAAGAAACAAACCACACTGAATTTACATAGTAAGAACTTTTGATATGAAAGAGAAGTGAAAAAACATACCTTGTCTGAAAATTCACCTCTGAGCAGATAGAAATGAGTGAAGTGCAACACGTCTCTGGCAACAGTTCTCTAGCATGAATGAGTCTAACTTAGGGCTTTACTGCCCCTCCCTGAACACAGCAGACTCATTGCTCTGTTGATGACATCATATTCCTGGATTTTCTCCCATACTATATTTTAAAAACAGTGTTTATCTATTGTATCCAGTATGAGACCACTGATATTTTAATAGGGGTGGCAAACAACACAAATACAGCTAAGATACTGATGTTCTCCAGTATGTGTATAAAACAGTCATGTGTTTGTACAACAGTTTCCAGAATTGTGCATGAGCATGCACGCAGCTCTTATCATGATTTGGGGTAATGACGAGCGCATTTTTTATTTTTCTGGTGTTAGAGCTAAACAAGACAGATTTCTGGAGGACTTGGATCTTTAAAACAGAAAAGATCAAATATCTCATTTACAGTCTAAGATATCTTTTTTTTCCATGGGAAAAAATTTACTGTTTGTATTCTGGAAGACACTGCTCTTCTCTGACTACTTGGTCTGCTGAGAACAAGTACAGAATCAAAATACCACTTAAAGATTTAATTGGACCAACATTTCTTCAAGGCTATGGATGAAATTTCTATATGAATCAGAATTATAGCCAAACCAGAGCATACCCTCTTACTTACTACATTGACTTTTATTCTGAATATCAGATAATTAACAGAAAACTAATTTTAGACTGTTTATTAGAGGCATAGAGGCATTTCCTGTAATATTCATGCAATTACACTGAAATCTGAAATGGCGACCATGGTTGCAGAATTCCACACAAAGGACACATCTTCATTTAAAGGAGAATTGAACAGAGAAAAGAACAGTCCACTCCCTTAGTTTGCCACAAAATTCTAATTCTGAAAGTGAACAATTCAGGAAAAACACTGGCCTATATTGTGACTGGTGGTATCTACTGGCTCCCATTCTCCATTGGTTTGTCATTTACAGTTCTAGTGCCATACACTTCCTTGGTATGTACTCTGACAGGAATTGCTGCTTTGGTTTTCAGTTCTTTTTCTTTTCTTTCTCTTTCTCAGAATCTGTTGTGATGGATGCCTGGTACATTTTCTCTCTTTATTGGAACTAGTTGAGTCATGCTCTATGATCAGCAATATCCCCCCTGGTCTGTCCCTGATTTCCCTGCACTAGTTCCAGTTTGGTTGTGTAATCTTGAGATTCACAGTCTCAAAGATCTTCATTCCACATAGGTTTTTTTTCAGTACCTTTTAAAACTCCTTATGCACTTGAATAAAATTTTTAAGATTACCTCTAGATTTTGCTTTTTTGGCTGATCACGTATTAAATATTAACATAATTTTGCAAAGACAGTGCCTCAAAATTATGCTTTGATTTTAAGAAAAAATTTATGTGTTCATAGGAGGGACTTTACTGGCTCAACTGTAATGATGTAATAAAACCCAGCTATGGCCAGATCTACTCGGCTGCACCTGAGGAATGTGGATTACTTCTAGAAGAGCAGGTGAGGAGTACCCTACAGCTTTTTCAGGAGGCTGAGGCTGGTGTTGCCAGCAGCCAGTCTGCTATGGAGACTTGCTAAATGGTGAAATAAATGTATGCAGGCATCTCAAAAGCTTTAGAAAGGCAAAGCTCTGCAAGGCAGGAGCTAATACAACCAGGTTGCCCCATCCCAGATGCAGAATCCAGCACTTTACCTTGTTGAACCTCATACAATTGGTGATTCCCCATCTCTTCAATTTGTCAAGGTCTCTCTGCAGGGCCCCTCTGCCCTTGAGGGAGTCAGCAGCTCATCCCAATTTCGTGCTGTTGGCAAACCTAGTATCCCTTCCAGTTCTGTGGTCAAGTCATTAATGAAGATATTGTAGAGCACAGGGCTGAGGATGGAGCCCTGTGGAACCCCACTGGTGACAGGTCCCCAGTCTGATGTCACCCCATTCTCTACAACCCTTTGTACCTGACCTGTGGGCCAATTGCTCACCCAATGTGCAATGAGATTATCCAGCCGTGGATGGATATTTTGTTCAGAAGGATGTTGTGAGAGTAGCAAAAACTTAGCAGAAAAAAAGATTATGCCTACTGACTTTTCTAGACCAAGTAGGTGGGTTAACCTGTTGTAAAAGGAAATCAGGTTTTTGATAAGTAGGATTTTCCTCCATAAAGTCATGCTGGCTGTGACCAAGGATTGTATTGTCTTTCAGGTGTTTTTCAATACCTCCCTAAGTAATCTTCTCTATAACTTTACCAGACACTGAAATGAGACTGACAGGCCTGTAATTTCTGAAATCATCCTTCCCGCCCTTCTTGAAAACTGGGACAAAGTTCACCAACTTCCAGTCATATCCAAATTCCCAAGATCACTCAAAAATGATTGAGAGAGACTTTTCAATTACATCAGCCAGCTCTTTGAGGACTCTCAGATTAACCCCATTAGGCTCCATAGATTTATAGGGATCCAGCTGGAGCAGCAGATCCCACGAAATTTCAGGGTCAGCTGGGAGCTGATCATTCTTGCAGTCATTGTCCTCCAGCACAAGGGCCCTAAGAACCCCTTGGTTCATCACTGGTGCTGAAGTAAAGAATGCATTAAACACCTCTGCCTTGTCCCTGTCCCTATTTGTTTTCCTGTGCAGCCCAGAATGGGCTGATGTTGTTTTTACACTGACTATTGCCACTAATATATTTGGAAAAACTTTTTCTTTTCCCCCATGTTTCTGGCAGCTTCAACTCCAGCTGAGCTTTGGCCATATGGATTTTCTCCCTCCAGTGGTGAGGAGCATCTCTGTGTTCCTCTGTGTCACCTGACCTTGCTGCCACCAGGCATACACTCTGAACTGGGTTACGTGGGAGCACTGCTGCTCAGTTAGCATTTATTTAAGAAACTGAGAAGGAATATATGCAAACATTTGGGTCTGTTAACTCAAGACAACAAACAGTGAATAAAGAGTAAATATAATGGGTGAGTTGGTTGCCTAGGTAATTGTTCAGGACTGTTGCAAGCACTTTCTAGGGGTGAAAAAATCCTACCACGTAATTTTACTTACTGGTTTCTGACCTTTTCCAAGTATGCTCTTTGCTCATTTTGGCCTACCAAGTCTGCAGGTTTGGAAGAAGGAGGCAGTCCTCGGCTTTTTGACAGGGACTTAGAATTTTGATTGTTGGTGTTTGAGCTGGAGGCCCCAGTCCCCATGTGAACAGGCGACCTGCACTATTGGCCATGCAAGTGACAGAAGCTACGTTCAGACAAATGCAGCTCTTCAAATCTCTCTGTGTGTATATACACACTGATCAGTCTCCTAGAAGAAGATATTTTTGCAGCTAAGTCTGTGTATTACTTCCCTTACAAACTCAGTATTTTCCAAGACTCACTAATTAAAATTAGCAACTGAAGATATTTGAGTAGATTTCTCTAAAGAAGATGCTGATTAATTTCCTTTTCCTTGTCCTGAACTGATCTGATTCTTCTAAACAAATTGTATCAGGGCAGTTTTATAGCATCTGTAAGGGTTTCATGTTGTCACTGAGCCTTGGCTCCTTGGGTTGTCTTCTAGTTTAAACAACCATTAATTTCGGTTAGTTATATTTTTCTAGAATGAGAACAGCTTTTTTGTCTCCTATGTGTTTCTGGGCCTTCAATATGTTGCTTTTATTTAAAAATTTATTTTAATTAATATGTAAATACACTTTCTATTTTCCTTTCTACAATTAAGAATTATGGTACTTTTTTATTGTAAGGGAGATTGAATTAATCAGGATCCAGAATGTGTGTGAGCTACTGAAGGACTGTACAATCAATTCAGTTCTAAAAGAACTCTAAGGAGATAAAGTTTGACTACAGATGCACAGAGTATCAACAGAGAAGCAAAGACGATTCTGATGGAAATACTTGCAGCTTACTTACCAGGAGAAAAGCCCTTTTCCTCAAAAACTGGATCTTCTATACATTGTATTGTGGAGGTACATAGCCAGAATTAAACTTCTTCAGTTCTGTGCAAGTTCTGTGCATTCATCTTTGGAAGTAGCTAAGTGGATCTCATACTATCCATTAGGAAGCATATAGAGAAAATCACAAGGCGAAATGAATGCTGTGGTGCTCTTTTAGCAGTAAAAGTCAGATGAGTAGCCAAAAGTTGAATCTGTGCTGGATGAGATGAAGGAAATTACACTGGAATGAGCAGAGAAGGCTTTTCTGTACCTTTTATGGGTCTGCACAACCTGCAGCAGGAAATGCTGCTGGGATGAGAATGAATTTTATCAGTACATCCAGAAGTATTGGAAGGAATACATTTGTGCCAGCTTCTTCTGTAGCATTAATCACAGGTTGGCTGCACCTCCAAGGGAAGGGGTGATTACCAACTCCAGGAGCTGGCAATCCAGTGTTACATACACTTATCCTCACAGCAATGCCAGGCTTGTCTCTGTCACTGAGTGGTAACTCTATAGCTCATCATCAAATGTATAAACAGCATCAGAATTGCCTCCCTTTCTTGCTTCGTGATCAGCTTTACCTCACCAAGCTTCTCCTAAGGGTGCCACTGCATGCTATTGTATAGGATTAGCTCTGACATACAGTGCCACAGGGTGCTACAGTTTAAGTTATTCTTTTTCTGCTGTTTTGTGTCAAGTGTTTTTCCTTTTCTCCTTTGTAGACATTGTGTGGGATTAATTGCAACTACTAAGCACCAGGGAAAAGATTTAACATCCCTTAAGAACAAACAACAAAAAAGCCCCTAACTGATGTCCTGGATTGTGCATCTATCCTCACAGTTACTGAAATCCTGTAAACAATGTTACAGATGTACTTCAAATTAAGTTCCCCCATTCAGGAAGGAAATTTGCTGATTCTCCTTGTTAAAATCAGACTCTTTCACTCTTATTGGATGTGCTAAGATTGCTGAGTTCCTCTGTGTCCTCAGAGAACTTTGCAAAGGAAGCATGCTGCTGTCTGTATCCAACCCTGCAAACACAGAAGTTAAGATACGTTGCATGAACTAAGCAAACATCCTATTTCTAAAATATCCCTTGGACTGAACATGCTCAAATTAAGTGTTGTAGTCAAACACTACACTGTGTTGAACTT